TTCACCTTAGGATTATCATAAGGTGGAAAGAACGTGAAGACACACAACAAGAAAAAAAATATTTTTCACCACAGTCATCTTAGTATATATTTGTAACACCACTTACTCTCAATCCATTATCATAATCTCTTCCCATGTATACAGTATCAGTGCAGATTGAGTCCTCTTTTAGGGTTAGGGTTAGTGCTAGGGAATCATGGGAACTGTATTTTATTGTGGCACCAGAGCTCTCTGACAGAGAAGGCTCAATGTCTCAGAAAGAAAAAAAAACTATTCCTATGATTCCCTAGCACTAGCACTAACCCTTAAAGTGGACTCAATTTGCACTATTTCTGACAGTCTGCAACCCCCCTATGATAGAAAATGTTCTGTTTTAGTTTTGAAATTAACAATCTCTACATTTTTAAATATATAACATGCCCCACATTTGTGGTTGTTTCTATGGCTGCAAATAACCCCCTCATTTTTGAATAGTTTTCTTTCGTTTAATATCCAGCTTGAATATACAAAAGCAGCTGACTATTTTTGAAAACCTTTTGGATGATCCCAGTCATTGTATGGTCTGAACCAGATTTAAGAAAGGTCTTAACATTTTGAAAAAGTTAGGGTCAAATTGTGCCTTTTTCTTTTCTTTTCAAGTTTCCATTGTTTAATTACCTTACTTTTCTGGGTATCTTATTTCTATCTGCAGCCAGACAAATGAGTATGGTGAGTGGAATAGCTGGCTGGATGTGTATTAGAAATATGCATATATTTTCAGGTCTGTAAATCGCCAGCAGTCCCTGGAATCAATGTCCCTGTTTAATATAGTGCTTTCTTCCTGTTCTCCTGTGTGCCTATTGTTACTCAACTGTTAATCATTATTCAAACTCTTAGGGTGTAGCCACAATGCAGAATTAAAGCAGTCTGATGCCACTTTAACTGCCATGACTGTATCTTATTCAATCCTGGATTTGTAATTTGGTGAGATATTCAGCCTGGTTTGTCAGCGAGTTCTGATACCTCACCAAACTACCAATCCCAGGATTCTGTAGGACAGAGCTATGACAATTAAAGTCATGTCAAACTGCTTTAATTCTGCTGTGTGGCTATACCCATAATGTCATTAATATTAAAACAATTTAAATTGTTTAAGTTATAATGGATTATGCATCACAAATTATTTTCAAACAAATTAATTCCAAGCACTGGAGAAATCTGATGAACTACATGACCCATCTGAAAAGCTTTCAGGGTGGCCGCATACCATGAGTGCCACATTGGTGGGGGGGGAACCTTGGGCTAAGGCAGGGATGTACAATCTACACCCTATGGGCCATATGTGTTGGGCAACCTCCATTCATTTTTTCATTTGAGTCCACTGGGCAGCAGCTCCAAATAACAGCTTCAGGATCCAGATGAGGACTGAGAAGGAAGATTCATTTAGCTCAGCAAGGAAAACTATTTGTCCCCAATCAATTATTAGAGATAAGGGCTTTTTAAAGGAAATTACACGTTAAATATCCTGCTTTTTAAAAATCTTGGGCTTTGCCTTTCATGCCAGAAGCCTGTTGTACTGGAATATATATCTGAGTAGATACACTATGGTTTGTGTGATTGGTGGAAAAAATGACCAGACTGGTAAGAATTGTATGTGTGTCTGCAAACATATGTGCAGGTGCATGCACACTGCCTCATGCACACCCCAGATGTAGCTGTCTGGTGCAAGAAAATTTTCCACCTTAGGTTAAAGTAAGATCTGATAAATTATCTGCCAGCAAAATAAGACATCAACTGAAAGAAAATTAAGCCCTACTGAGCTTGATTTGAAATCAACCAAAACAGAAGGGGAAGATTAAGCTGGGGGATAGGAAGTATACATGCTCATTACGGAAAGGGGCACAGAGACTGCAGGAAAGATTAGTCATATTGCTGTTAGCAATTTGGGGAATCAAACTAAAGAACTGTAAACTTAGAAATGGCAACATCCTTTTATGGCTCTGGGCAAAAGCCTTGAATTTTGTTCTTCCATTCTTCATCTGGAGTAATGAAATTAATTTACCTCTCAGGACTGCTATTTAGAATTAATTCATCTTCATAAAATCACTTTGAAAATAAAAAGCCCTGAAAGCATTAAGCTGTTTAACCATCCATGTTCAAAGTGATTACTGAATCCAAAAAACTATTTTGATGTAGATTATCACAAAGCAGGCATAAGAGAATATAGCTTTTAAAACTTTGCTATTGATCCTAATGAGTTTTAATAGGAATGTTCATCTATTGCAATTTTCAGAACAAAAGGAAAATTTTCAGAAGAACATAGTATTTCTTGGGAGGGGATCAACTGTAGCAATTGTACCCAATTCTGACAGTTGTAACCTACAAAAGTTTTTCCCCCAAACTTCAGGAACTTGTATTTAATCCCTGAACAAACTCCACATTAGTATATAGCATAAATGACATCTATAGATTCAAGACAATTTGTGTGAGTGAGGGAGATAATTGCATATTATAAGTTAGATGATAAAATCTCTGGCAAAAAAAATTCTAGATTTATCTCTCTTTCTTACAATTAATAATTTCTAAATCATTACAAACTGCTTAGAAAGTCACACAGCTTGAACATTATTCTCACTAATGGCATCAAAGCATGAAGAATACTAATTAAAGCACCCAGTATGTTTCTCTTATTCAATTATAAATATTGAAGAATCCCTCATGTCCTTGATATAAAAATTCATTTGCTTTAAAAAAATTGTTAAATGTACACAAAACTAAATAAGGCATACTTAAGTAGTTGAACCAATAAATCTTAAACTTTTGTTTAAAATGGACTAATGGTACCTTAATGTCTACCAATGTATGCTTCAAATAAATAATCAGATAGATCCTGCTGGGTAAGCACAGTTTGTTATTTTGTGAAAATGCCTGCTCAAAGTATATTGATTAATTTTAAAACTGGGATTGAAACAAGCGGTTTTGAAGGCAATAAAAACATCTACAATGATAAAAAGTTTTTTTTCAATGTCTATTATTAATAACAAATTAAAAATTATCATAAACATTAGTGCCCTTGTGTTTGGCATAGAATTTTGAACAATGATCTCGCACTTTCCCATCAGTAGACAACGAGCTATTAGCCTTGCTTAGCCAATGCAATTCTGCTACTCTTTCTATAACTTAACTGTTCTATAAAAGGAAAATGACATGACACCACTAGGGGAACAGAAGAAGCCTAAATCCAAGGTTAAGCTTGAGCCCTGCCCTCCATCTCCTGTCTTTCCCTGTATCAATAGGAATAGCACTTTACATTCCTATACCACTTCATAGTGAACCAAGCAATGTGTTAACCAATTGCCTCCAACCAGCCTGGTACTCATTTTACAGACCTACAAAAGGATGGAAGGCTGAGTCAAACAGGTTGACTTCGAGCCCTGCCTGGGATCGAACTCACAATATTGTGGCTGCAGTAACAACTGTGTCACTAGGGCCCTCAAAACACTGTAATCCAAGGGTGTCAAAACTGGGAAAATTTAAAGCGCAAATTTAAATTCACCATCCAACAGCAGCAGAAGCAGGCAATAGCAAACAACAAACTCTGAGGAGGACCATTGGTTCATTTTTAAAATACTGTTTGTCATTCAGTCCCATTGTGCTGTCCCTCCATGTCACCCACTAAAATCCTGAAGTACCATCATCATCCCCAAATGCTACACTCTTCCATGGCTTGATCTCTTTGCCTTCCACATATGTTTGTTCTTAAAATGCCCCACATGTAAAACAGCTGTTCCCCCAAACCTGGGAGCTATCTGCCCTTTCCCTATTGCTGTTATTGTTGTTAACTGCCCTTGAGTTGACCCTAATTCATGCCGACCCCAAAGATGAGACATCACCAAGACTCCCTGTCCTCCACTGCTTTGCTTAAGTCCTGCATATTCATCTTATTCTGAAACCTTTTCCCTTGGCTGCAAATGTTAGCTAACTGCATCTGTAGGTCAGCTCTTTCAGTGTAATGGCATCACTTCTTCACCCTGAAGATGTTTCAGTTAACTGTGTAGAATATGAAACAAGAGTCATGGGACACAATTTGGATCAGACAGGAGATGGTGACTCTCCATTTCTTATGTTTGACAATGATGCTGAAGGAAAATCATACATCCAGGTCTTTCCCCCATGCTTTGCCCCTGTGCTCTGAATAACTGCAAGTATTATTATCAGTTAGAGAGCCATCATCATGTAGTGGTTTGAGCATTGTACTGACTTGTAAATTGTTCCTTGAATTTTTCTAAATTTAAAACGGTGTTGATGTGCTTTGAAATAGAATTTAAAAACAGCATATGTCATGTTTGAAAACAGTTTTCTTTAGCTTTCAATGCCAAATTCTCAAGCTGCTCTCATAATGCTAGAAAATCTGAAGAATGAATTGAAAGTTCTTTCTGGGCACCTTTATGGAAGCTTAACTATTTAAAGTGTGTCTATAGGCCCTAATTAATCTCAAAGTGACCTATGCACCCTTTTTTCTTCTATAAAAACATGTACTAATTGTTTACCCCTCCAATTCATAATGATCTTTCATTATATGATCTCACCAGTTCCAAAGGTGTCAACACTCTCCTTGACTTACTATACTGAAAAACAGCCAGATTGGCATTTAATTTCAGTTTGTTAATTCAACATAGCTGACAGGAGAGCGCTCCTCACTGCAATTGACACGAGCAAGCTGGCTTAAGATTTGAATGGTGTGCATATTGCTTTCTGTCATTTTCCAGAAGCTTCCATCCAAGGCAGCATCTCACTCTGTCTGATAGTAGGACCAACACTGTAGAGGCAGTGGTGTAGAAAAGAACATCTCTAGATCCCTCAGCTTGTTGTTGCTTGCCTTCAAAACATTTCCAACTTAAGAAGATGCTAAGGCACTACATGGGATGTTATTATTAAGTCTTCTTCAGACGGGATTTGCCTTTGCCTTCCTCTGAGGCTAAAAGGATGTGACTTGCCCAAGATCATCCAGTTGGTTTCCACGGCTGAGCTGAGATTTGAACCCTGGTCTCCAGATTTGCAGTCCAGCCTTCTAACCATTACAGCATTCTGACTCTAGATTCATCAGCACAGCAGTAGATTTGTTTTTCTGTGAACAGTGCCCTGCCCTAAGCAATACTATGCTCTAGATTTGAAATGTGAGGGACTTTTAAAAGCAATTGGTGATGAAGAACTAGGGGAGAAGTGGTTTCACATAAGAAAAAAAGATGAAAGTCTTGGTACACCCACATAAATCTCTTATATGACTTAAGGGTCTCTCTGGTTAAGCTACAGTTCTGGGCAAATAACACCATCGCTGGAACAGGCCATGATGCTTTTTAAAGTGCTGTGTTGCTTATCGTCTCATTATGAGAGAACAATCATGTTGTACTCAAAAGTAATGAATTATCATAAAATATTGTGAATCTGTGGCAATAGCAAAGTATATGGCCACAAAAAAGAAACACTTATATTTACAAAATAAGTAGCCCAAATGCAGGCAAACACAGCCCATAACTCATTGATTGGCTAACTGGTAGCAGGCCTTAGTGTCCTCTTTTTCATTTTCTATTGCAGAAGGTAAAGTAGATCACTGGGGAAAGTGATCTGTATTGTTCCCTAGGATTAGAGTTTGGAAAGCTACTTTTCTGAACTTCACCTGCCAGATTTTTCCAGGCAGCATGACTAGTCGATACAACCATGCCAACTTCAACGCATACAGGGTACATCTGCACAATATTTTATGATAATTCATTTCTACACTGTAGAAATAATGCAGTTTGACACCTGTTTAACTACCATGGCTCCATCCTTCAGAATCCTGGGATTTGTACCTTACCAGAGGAGGTACAAACTATAATAGGAGTAGGTCCTATTATAGTTCCATAGCACAAATAGTCTTCAGTATACTTTTGAGTCAGGAGAGAACAATTTTCAGATGCAGAAATACCCAGTGGCTGAAAATTGCTAGTATCAGAATCATGTAAAAGACAAACAGCATTTAACTTTGCTTAGCACTAAGGGCCTTGCAAAGTACTGGTTATTTTATGTGATAAATAGGAATCTGATGCTGTTTTAAGAGGGCCTAAACATTTTCCCTAATTAGTGCTTCTGTTGCTGGGGTGTCACACACAGCTTTTAGCACACAAACAGCAATGTTTTGTCAATAGGAAAATAAGATTCTTGCCCCAGTTAACACATCAACTGTTCTCAGAAATGCTGTGTGGAATGTGGTTGCGCAGATGTCATCACTAGGAATGTGTGGAAAAAATCTCACCTTTTTTACATTTTCCCTTTGAGCAAAAAAGAAAAAAAAAAGGTCTGGAATTGATTTGCCTTGGATCATAACAAATAATTAAAACATTTTAGTGTATCATCAATGAACTCCAACAGCTCTTTATAATTATGAGAGGAATCATTCAGGACTTAAATAATTGTGATGTTAAAGTCCAGGTTGTTGTTTTTTTTTAAATAGTTTAGAGAGTTTCTTCTTAAGCTATCTGATGTGGTGGACTGGGATGATATTTACCCAGTGTACAATGGATTGGCACTATATTCATGCCCACTGTCTTGCCTTTTCTTCCTGAAAACTTGCCACAGACTAGCAGCTAATGACTGATAGACTAATACCAGTCCACAAACCACCACTTTGTGTATCACTGCTTTAAAGAACACATACATGTGTAAGATGGTGAGTGTGAGTAGGTGGATTTAACCCCTACACTGAAACTGGAATAAGAATTGTAATGCCCATGGGTTACATGCAGCCAGCCAAAGCTCCTGTTTGGTCCCAGCCACACACACACCAAGAACCTCATCACTCTCCAAAATGGCAGCTTAATGGCCCACCACACTTCTAAATTGTGTTCCTCCTGCTGAAATTACATTCCCTACACCACCTTTTTGGAGACAGAAACAGATGAAGACCTTTCTTTTCCAATGAGCCTTTAAGAACTGATTTTTTTTTTTAAAAAAAAAAAGGATTTTTTATGGTTTAATCTAGCTTTTATCCTTTTTAACTATATCTGCTTTTATTTTATTTATTTTTTTGCCTTTTTCTAAGCCTCCTTGAGTCCCAGTCTGTGAGAAAGGCTGGCTATAAATAAAGTGATGGATGGATGGATGAGATGGAAAAAGCTGTTTTAAAGGGCTTCCAAAATGAAGGGTGAAGGTGGGAGAAAATGGGGAGTTTAGAAAAAAACTGAAACTCTGTCATCCAGCAAAAGTGGTTGGGGAATTTCTGCAGCCTTCACAAGCTTCCAGTCAAGGCTTCAACACTTTTCTTCTTCCCTTTTCTCTTTACACAGTGGCAAGCCTGCTGGCTCTCTTGGCTGGAAAATTCTAAAAGTTCTAATTCAAGAAAGGAAACTTTTCCAGGCTCTACTGAGAATACATTTTGTTTGCTTTTAGGAAAGACAGATCTGTCTCTAATATATATCCAATATATACCAAGCACCCAAAATGCACCCATCCTAATGCACAATGACTGTACCTTTTAAAACAACAGCAGCAGCAGCAATTCTGTTTCCCATTCAACAAGGAAGTTCTATGGATACTGTGAATTGCCAGGGACCCAAGAGCAAATGAAGTCTGAACTTTCACAATAAGGACTTGATCATGCCAGGTTCATAAGGCTCCACAATCACATTGGTTTAGGAAATGAAAACAAAGCATTTTGAGATGGTTGTTATTACACAGCTCTTCCAAATCACCATGGTGCTGCTTCTATCCTGCCTTTCTCTTCTGCACACTGGCCTCCATAGCCCTGCCTCCCTGTCCTATGCCCTTCCCAACATGCCTTTCTCTCTGTATTTTATTTTTAACGCAATTGCAAGATCATGGCAATCAATTAAGTAAAATCCATTAAGTGAAAAAAGAGAAGAAAAGAAATTGAAAAAAGAAAACAACCCATTTGGGAATAGTGAGGAGAAGAGGGAGAGGAGAAGAAGAGCAGAATCATGCCCATTCATAGCATATGACTGCCTACATATTGAAACTGCTTTGGGAGGAACTTGTCACATGTGCATCAACAGTGAAAAAGCAGCATAAATGGGACACATTGACATGTTTTGTTCAACAATGAGAAGGAGTGATTATAGATAGACCAATAATAGGATAGATTATAAACAAGCTACTGGACAGACACAGCATTGGGTGATAAGATGCAGAAACAGATGCTCTCATTCTGATTCCACTTCCACATATGATAAATTCTTCAGTCAAAATGACTAAACTGAAGCTATCCTACATTGGCTGTACTGTGACGAAACATGATCGAGTGGACAAAAACAATAATGTTTAGCAAAATGAAAAGTGATAGGAAAAGCGAAAGATCAAATTACAAATAATTGATTCAATAAAGGAAACTGGGTTTTCAAGACTTGAACAAAACAATTGATGACAAGGGCTCATCTAGGGCTCTGATTCATAGGGTCTTCATATGTTGGAACTGACCTGACAGCAAATAGCAACAACTACAGTACCAACTCAAGATGTTAGCATTCTCATGCTGATGTATACCTACACTGCAATCCTATGCCTACAGGATTTAGTTCTAAATAAGCTTGTAGAGGATTTGACTATCAGTCTTGTCAATAGGATTGCCTGCTTGGCTTTTTCTCTTTTCTCATGTTACTGTCTAATTATCTCACTTCCTAGAATATTATTAATAGCTTTGGATCTCTCAAGTGACATTATTACATAGAAACATCACTGAGAATTAAAGCAAAACTGAGGGAAATAATTTATGAAACTGCCTAAATCAGCAGTCACCATTAATAGTTATTTAAGGCATATGATTCAAAGTGAATAATTTTAGCTACAGTTCCTCAACAAGCCCACTTTAGAATAAACATCATATGAATTACACATACAGTCACCAAAATAATGATGTTAATATCATGAACATTAACAGATGGCACAGTGGTTAAATGCCTGTACTGCAGCCACTCACTCACAAATCATAAGGTTGTAAATTCAATACCAGCCAGGGGCTCAGGCTAAACTCAGGCTTTCATCCTTCCAAGGTCACCAAAATGAGTACCCAACTTGTTGGGGGCAATTAGCTTATACATTGTAAACTGATAAGCGGTATAGAAAAGTACTTGCTACTTAATATGGCAGGTGCATGTATTTCTAGTTGCAATTAACTTTATTTGACTTGCCAAACATTCCAGTTTTCAGGAAGTGGTACCATTTATCAAATACAGTACTCCCCCTATTTTCTATGCTTATTTTCCTTTTATTTTGGGGATTTTATTTATGTTTTAAAGATATTAAGAACACAGAACAGGTCTTCTGGAACAGACAAATGATCTGTCTATCCCATCACTCTGTTCCACAGCTAGAAAGTAACTAATTTTAACAAATTACTTTTGTAACTAGCTGTGGATTTGTTTGTTTTTGAAATAACAAACTGAAATGTGGTTACTTTTTTTGTCTGTAACAGCCATGACAATAATCCACCATTTTCAGTGGAATGGGAACATGTTCTCTCCTTGTTCTCCTTACTGGGTATGTGTCCTGATTTGGTCTGATCAGTGGGAGGGAAATAAGGAATGGTCAGACTCTTAGGATATGGTCATATCTGTACCACACCCCTACCAAGATGTACATGTGCATGCTCAAAAATGAAACCACTTTTGACTCTCTGATCTAAGAGAGCAACTGATTAACTGGGAAGGGCTTCCCCTAGTCCAGTCCTGTGCTGAACTCCATCATCAAGTTGCTTAAGTTTCCTGGGTAAACAGTTGAAATACTCTTAGTGTGTATGCCTGTGTGTTTATGTGTGTGTGACTTCAAGTCATCTTTTGACTTATGGCAACCTCATGAATTTAATACACTTGTCTTATGCTTTTCAGGGATGGTTTTGTCAGTTCCTTCCTCTGAAATATAGCCTACAACACAAGGTATTTGTTGGAAGTCTTCCATCCAAGTACTAACCAGGACTGAACCTGTTTAGCTTCCCAGATCAGGCAGGATCTGGTGCCTTTAGGGCATTTAGGCCCTTGAAATACTGGATGTCCCCAAAGTTCTGTCTCTCACAGGAGGTGGCATTGCAATTGTAATGCATTAC